CAATGCCTACCATGTTATGGTCAATGCCTACCATGTTATGGCCAATGCCTACCATGTAATGGTGAATGCCTATCATGTTATGGTAAATGCCTACCATGTTATGGTGAATGCCTACCATGTAATGGTGGAATGCCCATCACGTAATGGTGAATGCCTACCATGTTATGGCCAATGCCTACCATGTTATGGCCAATGCCTACCATGTTTTGGTCAATGCCTACCATGTTATGGTCAATGCCTACCATGTTATGGCCAATGCCTACCATGTAATGGTGAATGCCTATCATGTTATGGTAAATGCCTACCATGTTATGGTGAATGCCTACCATGTTATGGCCAATGCCTACCATGTTATGGTCAATGCCTACCGTGTTATGGCGAATGCCTATCATGTAATGGTAAATGCCTACCATGTTATGGTGAATGCCTATCATGTAATGGTGAATGCCTCTCATGTAATGGTGAATGCCTCTCATGTAATGATGAATGCCTCTCATGTAATGGCGAATGCCTAACATGTTATGGCGAATGCCTACCATGTAATGGTGGAATGCCCATCACGTAATGGTGAATGCCTACCATGTTATGGCCAATGCCTACCATGTTATGGCCAATGCCTACCATGTTGGCCAATGCCTACCATGTTTTGGTCAATGCCTACCATGTTATGGTCAATGCCTACCATGTTATGGTCAATGCCTACCATGTTATGGCCAATGCCTACCATGTAATGGTGAATGCCTATCATGTTATGGTAAATGCCTACCATGTTATGGTGAATGCCTACCATGTTATGGCCAATGCCTACCATGTTATGGTCAATGCCTGCCATGTTATGGCGAATGCCTATCATGTAATGGTGAATGCCTATCACGTTGTGGTGAATGCCTACCATGTTATGGCGATTGCCTATCAAGTAATGGTGAATGCCTACCATGTTATGGTGAATGCCTACCATGTTATGGCGAATGCCTATCATGTAATAGTGAATGCCTCTCATGTTATGGTGAATACCTACCATGTTATGGCGAATGGCTATCATGTAATGGTGAATGCCTATCATGTAATGATGAATGCGCCTACCATGTGATTATGAATGCCTACTATGTAATAGCGAATGCCTACCATGTTATGGCGAATGCCTATCATGTAATAGTGAATGCCTCTCATGTAATGGTGAATACCTACCATGTTATGGTGAATGCCTACCATGTTATGGCGAATGGCTATCATGTAATGGTGAATGCCTATCATGTGATTATGAATGCCTACTATGTAATGGTGAATGCCTACCATATTATGGCGAATGCATATCATGTAATGGTGAATGCCTATCATGTAACGATGAATGCCTACTATGTAATGGTGAATGCCTACCATGTAATGGCGAATGCCTATCATGTAATGGTGAATGCATATCATTAATGGTGAATGCCTATCATGTTATGGCGAATGCCTATCATGTAATGGTGAATGCCTATCATGTAATGATGAATGCCTCTCATGTAATGATGAATGCCTTTCACGTTGTGGCGAATGCCTTTCACGTTGTGGCGAATGCCTATCACGTTGTGGCGAATGTCTATCACGTTGTGGCGAATGCCTATCACGTTG